GTAGTTTTCAATTGGGTATGGTATTGTTCTACCCTTCCTGGCTGAAATTGTTGTACGATAATGCTCCATGTCATTAAACAGCTGTCGTCTGTCACCTTATGATGAAGTCATTCCTCTCTAAACAATGAGTTTATAAAGCCCTTTTGGGTCCTTCCAGATAAAATTTGCTCGTAAACCAGCAATTATGATCTTTTGAGTACAGTAAGGTGATGCTTGTTTGTCTCTCTTGACAGCAGTTGGAGTCCTTCAAATGGGTGTTGTCCCTTTTGTCAGCTTGTGTGACATCCTGGCAGTGACTCCGCAGCTCGGATATAAATATTTATTACTGTCAAACCCCGATGCCTGTAAATGCCTTTGCGCTGGGGTGAATTTAGTAGTCTTTACACTTGGAACCCATTCATTACCATGTTCTTGTTATGTTGGCTTTTAGAGGGAGGCCAATGTTCTCTTACAGATGTCTTACACCATAGAACGTGAAAAAGGCAAACCCCCAGCAAAACAGTAAAACCACTAAATTAGGTGAGGGTTGAGAAATGAATTAACCAAAATGGAACAGTGAGAAGGATTCTGGGCAGGGTTAAAAACAGATTTGAAAAACGGGTCTCACCTAAACCCATTTGGTTCCAGTTAACAGCTGTTTTTCAGCACCTGGTTTGACACCTAGTTCATTAATGGAAATGAATGTGGATTAATGCCAAAGCTCTTAACAGTGCTGAGTTTAAGAGAGTCCCTTTGATCCAGACTTTGTTTCTGAAGTCTGTCTCTCTCTCCTTAGCGGTCAGTTCTCTCTTAGCAGTCTCATTGTAATTACAGATGTGAATGAGAGAGACAGAGAAGGCGTCTACTAGTTTTTTTACGGTGCTCCTGCTTAAGCAGCAGTGATATTAAAACAATCTCTAGCTCCTCAAAGAGTGGCCCTGTCAACTTGCTGAAATGATGGAATGGTAGTTAGGTTATTAGAAGGAAAATTGGCACAAATTGAGAGAGAGGATGCTCTGGCAGCAACCACAAGCAGCCAGCAACTCAGTGGCTTAATCTCTGCCCTCAGGCTGCACTCTACGATACAGATGACACCTTGTCAGTGAAGATGATGTACTGGGTCACCCCTGAGTCCAATGGGCTAAATTGGCCATGGAGGGAAGGATTGCTGTGGTGTAGAGACAGCAAGCCACATAATCTTGTGAGGGTTGGTTGTTTTTTTTTTAACATATGTCATCATTTGGGTACTGACAGTAATAGTCAAGGGATCCTGTTCTCATTAGTGTCCCCTAGACACAACTATCTCTGTACGCTCATGCTTTCAAGAAATAGTCCTAAACTTTTGCAAGGATTGCTTTGCCTCCTCCTGGAAAGTTTCATGCACGGTTTCTGTTTTGTCTTGTTATTTCTTGGGTACAGCAGAAGGAAAAGATGAGGTGAGGAAGGAGCTGCTTCCTCTGAGAGCCATTGTGTTGGAAAAGAGAAGTAACAAAAAACCCTGCAGCTGTTGGCAACTAAGAGGTCTTAGTGCAGAGCAGTAATGTTCATAGGGTAAAGATGAAGGTTGGAAAAGGATAAGGGAATTCAGCTTTACCAGAGATTATTTGTGAGGGATCAAGAATATTTGGTTGGATTTTGTGTCAACCCAACAAGCTCTGCGACAGTTGAACCATCAGACAGGTGTGCTGTATAGTTGTGTTCCTCAGTGGAACCTTCAAGTACACTGCAGGGACCAGATCCATAGAATCTATAAAATGTTGGGGTTTTTTCATTGTTATCTTTCTGTTGGTTTATTCGCTTGTTCGGTTTGCATTGGCTTTAGTCCTACGTCTAGTGCTGAAGCTGGGTGGGGGTGCTACTGCAAGTGTCATTGCTGCAACAGTGCTCATGTGCTCCCCAAAACCCTGACAGTGAGAGGGGGATCCCTCCTCTGAGGAGCTCAAGAGCCTTAGTTTTCACTGAAGTCAAAGGAATGCAATTTAGAAAGGATCCCAGCTGTGCTTGTAGAAATGAGTATCCTCTCTGCAGTCTGAACTTGCCTATCAATCCCCCAAAATGTTGGCAGCTCAGTGAAACCCCTAACTTGTGGTAGAAAATTATTTTTTTCCTAAATCTGCAGGAGTTAGTGGATGGGCAGAGCTGTCAGCGCATGGCAGAATTAGGTCCGGAGAAGTTTTAATGACTTACCCAATTTAATTCAGGCAGTGAGCGACAAAACCTGTCCCCTGGAGCTTTGCATCCCGGTGTACAGTAGCCTACGCCTGGAGTCAGAGCTTTTAACCATCTTTATCCAATAAAGCATTTAAGGAATATGATCAACGTAAATTAGCTTCAAATCCACCAAAGTAAAGAAAGGACTTAAGAATTTTGTGAAATTAGAAGAGATCTTGGCCCGTACCTAAACCTTTATCTCAAAGCAGGAGCTTGATGCTAATGTGGTCATTAACCTGAGAAAACAGGTAGAAGTGGTTGATCTTGTGGTTTCCTAAAAATTGGCTTGTTAGCAATGGAAATTGTGGTGCCCTTGGTGGTAAAGGTGGTTTGGAAAAAGAAAAGGAAGAAACTTGTTATTCTATATTAAATAAGACCTTTGCTATAATTTGGGGCTACAGTAGCAATTGCAGGTGGATTTCTTAAAGAAGGGATCCAACGGAGAATAGATGAAGGGCATAATTTAAAAATGAACTCAATTCTTTCTTTAAGGAAAACAACATAGAGAATAAATAAAGCAAAAAGTGAAGCCAATTTCTGAAGGAAATATTTCACAGAATCATCTAAGTTGGGAAAGACCTTGAAGATCACCTAGTCCAACCCTTAACCTAACACTGACAGTTCTCAACTACACCAGATCCCTCAGCGCTATGTCAACCTGTTGACTGAGTCCAGGGCAAAGCTGGGGGTTGCACAGCTAAGTTTCTAGATTTTATTGGTTTTGCAGGTCCAAAGTGATGTGTAAGCATTTTCCTTAGTGGATTAGGTTTTACATAAAGGAACAAAAATTGGAAAGAAAAAATTGAGTGATTTTCTAGAGGTATAAGTGTCACGTAGGTTCCCACTGCTTCATGAAAGTCTTTAAACTTGTTCCCACGGCGTGTCACGCAAGTCAGGGGTTTTCTGTTTCTTGGAGAGTTTTGGGGTGTGGTTCTTCGGGTGGTTGGTTTGGTTTGGCTTAAGTGTTACGTATGTATGGAAAATTCAGTTTCTAATGTCTGGAGAAACTGTGATTGCTTCAGGTGTGCCTGTGAACTCTAGAACATCTTCAAAACGAAGAGCATATGTAAGACAAGAGAGTTTATTTGTGCGTGAAATGTGATATTAAAGGTTGGACCAAATCTTTCAGTCTCTTACTCAGGCAAGACTCCTACTAGAATCAATAAGAATTTTGTCTAATAAATGAGTGTGATAAATGCTGTTGTCTGCCAATTCACGTTGAAGACACTTCACAAGTGACGATCAAACTTTTAGTTGGTTTACAATGTGCCTTTAATATAACTTTTTCCTTCCTACTGTAAGCAGGAAAAGTGCTAAGTTAATATGGGCATATTAATGTGTTCAGGTGAATTATGCTTTCAAGGAGATGAAACACATGAAACTAAGTAATTTGTCTTTGCACAGGTTATAGCTGCGAGACAGGGGAATTACACAAGGTTTTTTTCTTGCTATTCTTAGGTTTTTAAATTTTTTTTTTCACATGTAAAATATGATTTTCATCTGGTTGTGCAGATTTTGAGCTGTCACAAGTCCTCCTGTGGGCATTCTCTCCTGAACAATCATCAAATAGAGAAATTGTAATTAAAGCCAAGTTTTTTGAAAGTGGCAGGTGGCTCCGAAATGCCTGAATTCTGTGATGATCAACTTTCAACATTGCTGAACACAGGCCATTTCCCCCGTTTCCCCGGTGTAAAGATGGGGGGAATGCTCCAAAAGTCACATCTCATTAGTGTTCTTTCATGAAACTCAGGCATCCAAAAATTATATTCACTTATGGAATCTCTAGCCAAGTAATTAGTTGAAATTACTGCCCTTAGTTATCAATAATGACATGAGGGGCTTTTTTGTATTTTTACTTTTGTTCAGTATTTAAAATTATTTGTTTTCCTTGTAAGAGTGCAACTCTTCCTAAACCATAGTATGTCATTTGTCTCACAGAGCAACTTAATTTTTGTTATGAACTCCTTTTCCCCTGCAAAAGCGTGTGGTTGTTTTGAACTTAGATGTACATCTGGAGATCAGATAGGGTAACAATTTACAGGGTGTGAAAAATTCAAAAAATTTGATGTCCTCTTGCAGGGAGAAAAACTTTATGAAGCAGCATTTTAGATTTTGCAACGAAGTAGGCAATTTTGCCGCTGCCTTCCCTTTTTGAATTTTTTTTTTTTTTTAATGCCAGGGTGCAGTAAACAATGTGCTTTAAACTGGAGCTCTCCAGACTGCTTTTCCTTTTTAAAGAGCGTAGGCAACTAATCGGCAGCAACCAGCCACATAGCTGGAGTGTTTTCCATTCTAGGCAATATCATACTAATTTGATGCACACATGGATGCTTCACACAATCTGCAAATTCATCTCTGGCATCTTGCATTAGTCATCTGACAGATTGCCAAGTGTTTCATATTCCTTTCATGTGACTTTATTACAAAACACACACACACACGCACTGCCTTATTTCTGCCAGTAGCCAGTTTAGTGAGAATTCACTGCAGTTCTGTTTACAACAGCCATGGAGAGAAATCTGCACTTATTTGCAACTATCCTCTGCTTTAAAATGCAAAAGTCCTGGTTTGCGTTGTGCCGCTCTCTTCTTATATAATGACATTAAGCAGCAGCCTGCAGAGAAAACCAGACTCAATGAAAAATGTAATCGCATTGTTTTTTGTTCATAATACTTATGCTATTAATTAAATACTGGGGGGTTTTTTTGTGCTTTGTGCCAATTGACATCATCTTCTGCATCTAGTGCACATGAAAACTGCGTAGTCTCCTAACTTGCCTTCTCTTTTTAATCTCCTTTTCCACTTTCTAGTAACGGCACAGCTAACAAGATGAATGGAGCTTTGGATCATTCAGACCAACCAGACCCAGATGCCATTAAGATGTTTGTTGGACAGATTCCCCGTTCATGGTCGGAAAAAGAGTTAAAAGAACTTTTTGAGCCTTATGGAGCTGTCTACCAGATTAATGTTCTCCGAGACAGAAGTCAGAACCCTCCCCAAAGTAAAGGTACAGTAGTTGTGCTCTCTTTGCTTTCAATTTTTTTTTTTTTTTTTTTTTCTGATAATCTTGCTTGCCTTCAGGATTTCCAAAGAGGTTTGGTCTGGGCTGACTGTTTTGAAGCATACTGTGTTGAGCTATGCAGCAATCCTAAGAGGAGAGGACTCCTGAATACCTATCGATTACTGTCTTCCTCCTCTTCTTAAATTGCAGTTTAAATGTCTGTTATCTGGAAGTGTGCATTCCAACTGTGCAAAAAATAACAGAAGATTGCCGTCCTTGTTTAAATTATTATTGCCAAGAAACATGGAAACCTGAGCGGTCACTTTCCTGGGATTAGCTCATGAAAAATATAATTTTCTAGCTTCCTTTCGTTTCCTCTCTTCCCAGGTGGGAATAATTTTAAGGATACAAAAGGGGAGAAATTATGGTAGTGGGCTTTTGCTACGTCATTGCTCCAGAGGCAATAAAAATTATAAAATAGAGTTTCCATGACCTTTTTCCAAAATCTGATTTCTTTTCTGCAGTTATGTTAAAGGATTAGGTTTTGGCACTGATATTTTTCTAAAAGAAAGGGTTGAGTTTCCTTCCTGCATTTTTTCTATACACGTGTAAAATATTTGTCCTTAATTATATTGCTTTCTTTCACTGTATGTTTATGCATATTTAGGCACATGAGAATTCTGTGTATTATAGCTATGCAAGTATAACATATGCTTACATGTGGACGGAAAATTAGTATTTTGTTTCACAGAATGCATTTTTCTCCTTAAATAGCACATCCTTTAACTTACTCTTCAGGTTTGGTCCATGAAAGTGTTGCTAGCATTACAAATTGTGCAGCTGAGAGGCAAGACTAGATATGCATGTGTGCCTGGCCCTAAGGTTACTAGATAGTTATTCATTCTTACTGCACTCCTGCCACTGCTTCTAAAAACCTTTAAAGCACACATGCTACGGAGACTATCATAAAATGATTTTGTGGGCTAGCAGCTAACTAACAGTGCAAAACAGCACTCGCTTGAGATTTCCAGTTCAGCGAGAGGTGACTGCTGTTGTGTGAGGCACGCAGCCCAAGTTCGGGTGCTCCTGTGCGTCTGTGCAAAGCACTGCCAAGCTTTTCCTCCTTGCCCTGGTATGGGGTAGAGGATCCTCTCAGTGGCCCCTTCTTTGGTGCCCTGATGTAAGCAGTCTTGTGCTTTGAGTGATACTAGTTCGTTTTGGGTTGCTTGCATGTGTCACTTCCACTTAAAAGACTTGGTGCACTGGTGTCACACCAGTGTCAGGGAGGGGGTTCATCTCACCATGTCTTGCTCCTAGTCCCTGTACTAGATTGCTCTTTCCCTTTGGAAGCAGAAGGTATTTTTGGTAGGAGTATTTCAGTGTAGTTCTGCTTCCAGCTCCCTCCATTCCCCAGGATGGATGTATTGTGGCACGTAGCCCCCTGCTATGATAACACAGAGCCTTCACCAAGTGTCTTTTTCTTGTAATGCTGGATAGAAGACAGCATTAAGAGGTCAAGCAACTGGATTTTCTGCAGTCCAGGCTGCTATGGATGAGCAAACTCCTACTTAGTTTATATCACTAAAATACTGAACTTTGAGACTCGTCCATTTAGAAAGAGCTGATTCCCAGGCCTCAGAAATGCCTTCCCACTAAGCAGTAAATGAAGTGAGAATGATATTGTGGTTAGACAGAAGAAAGCCATTGATTCCCATTTCTGTAGTGTTTTCCATTATACTGTACCTGTCTGTCAGGCAGCTGGAAGGCATAAGGATTAAGCACAGGTCATGCAAATCGTTGTAGACTAATTATGAAGGCTTGTAGTCCCCATACTCAGTATTCTTTTTGAAAGGTGGTTGATTTGGGTTTGGGTTTTTTTGCTTGGTCTCTTTTCAGCCGTGCAGACACGATGCTTTTATATCACTTCAGGCATTATATGTTTTAATGAGTAAATGAAATTAATCCTCAAGAAAGACAGAATAACCTTCAGACTTAAATTTCCCTGTCACAGCAGCAAGCTCCTCTGGTGGTCAGCTTTTCCCTTGGAAGCTTTGGAGGAGTGTATCTCCATCCTGGCTATGTCCTTCCTTCTGGCTGAGTCTGCCAGCAAGGTTGCTAGATATAGAAACCTCTTGAGTTTCTTCTGGATATCTCTCGACTAGGAATGATCTTTATTTTCTTAATCCAGTAGCACAAAGGATTTTGTATGAGAGATTGTTAAGAATGTTAGAAGCAAACAAACAAAAAAATTGCCCTGAAAAATGTCTGGTAGTCTTGTTGTCATCATGAAATACTTCACCTGTACTATCTAATTGGCATTTAATAACAAAGCTGAGTTTTGACTTTTTGTTCAGAGGTGTGGTCGAATTCCATGCTTTCCTTCTATGTAAATACCCACACAAAACAACCACTTTTATTTTATTTGAGCTGAGTGGATTGGGGTAATGCCAGGCATTTTCCTGTCTGCTGCCTTTCTGCATCACCTCCAGTTTTGCAGAACAGTGCATCAAGGGGACCTTGTGGTTGGGTGTCACTAGAAAAGTCCATTTTTCATTTCATTACATGGTCATGGCTGTCTGTCATGTAGAACATTTGCAGGTTGGTATCACCCAGAAATTTTCTCTAAATATCCTTCAAGCCATGAATTGCAGTGACAAAAATGCAAGTTAGTGTTACTACGCCATGTGGGGGTTAGCGGTTTGGTTTTGTTCTTTGAAGAAAGGTATTTTGATTTTTGAAAGATTTCTCTCTTACCAGACAAGGGCTGCGTATTTCTGCTAGCTTGGCCAAAGGGGCTTCTCCAATTTGAACAGAATTTTTCTCTGATGAACTGTTTATGAAGCTGCAGTCTTAGTCTCTCCCGATTCTGTCAAAAATAACCATAGGCTGCTTCTCTCTCTCCTGCTGTTATTAAGACTGTCTTTCATACCCTCCAACAACAGACGGCCTAGTTCATGTCTTTCCTCCTTTTTTTGTATTGCTTGCCAGCTCTGCAAAGCTGAAGCTGAAGGAAGAGGAGGAAGACAAGTAGAAAGCCCAGTTTTACTCACTTTGGAAAATTAGAGGAAAACCATCTTACTTCCACAGATATATTAATGTTAGTGCAAATGTTGAAGCTTTATTAATTGGGAACCACAGGAATGGTTGTGTTTTGATAGGTGATGATTAAAATATCCTCTGTCGGTAGGAAACTCCTCGTGCTTTCCAGAGTTTGCAGTTCTCTGGTTCTTTTTGGATGTGTGAGAGAGCTCAGCAAAGTAATTTGACTTTGTGTTTATCCCCTGTTGTTTTGTAAGGCTTTTTCCTCTTTCTGCAACAAGAGAAATCCGGGGGATAAAAAAAAAAAAAAAAAAAAAAAAAAAAAAAAAAAAAAAAGGCAGGAAATCCTGTAACACTGAAATAAATGGCACTTTCAACTTCTGGGAGCTGAGGGAATTCAAAAATCTAGGCAGATCAGCCCTCTCTGTTCCAAATCCAGCTTGCTCCCTTTATATAATTTTTCTGGGTGGATAGATGACTTTTTTCAGAGTAGTTGTTAAACAGCTTCTGTAATGCCTCAAATACAGTGAGCTCTATGCGAAGGCAGTGTATGCTGCCACCAAGATCTCTCTTCTTCCCCACTGTTCTCCTAAGCCAAAAAGATTTCCTTGGATGCTTTTGCTTCGGAGACCGAGTGCTGAAGCAAGCAGATGGCACAGTGCTACTTTTGCCTTTTGAAATGCAGAAGAGCCTTGGGCCAGATCCACAATGTCTGTTTGGTACCTTGCCCCTGTTTCAATACCTGTTAATTCTTGTAGGGATCGAGGTCCCCTAAATCAGCTTTACGAGCCTGAGCCTGCTTGTGCTACCATAGGAATCGTGTCGCAGAAAGCGAAAAAGAGGCACCCATGTAACAACTAACTCCGTGTTTCTTTATAGCCTTTTACAGACCCTTTATCAGATTAGAGGGAGACTGCTGAGTGAACAAGGATGTGCTGTAGTTAAAGGCCAGTGTTTATTATTATCCTATTTAACATGGTAATTTAAGTCTACCGGGAAGCAAGCAGAGGAATCTGATAATGAGGCATTCATCTGCTGCATTCAGGAGAGACCGCATGGGCAAGGCGTACAGGAGGCAGAAGTTACGTGGCTTGTTTGGGTACCATTTCAGCTACAGTTTAGCCCTTCAGAAATACTCTGCGCAGGCGGGAGGAACAGTCTTTCCACTCAGGCAGGTCCCTGCACACAGAGCCCCATTTTCTGTGCAGCAGAAGAAAAGGAAACGCAGGTAGTCCAGCATGGGAGCAGAGCTGTGGCACTCGGCTTGTCACACAAACTCATCCTCACTGTCCTAATCAGCGGCAAAGACCAACTGTTCCTGGCCTGCCCTTGCATCACTGCCCGACCGATTGCACACGCTGCTTCTTGAAGCAATTTCAACGCACTGAGTTTTGCAGAACTAGTTTAGATGCTCTTTAAAAGCACCATTCAGCCAGCGCTCCAGGAGTCGGGGTTTCTTTACACATTTTGACTTATTTTGTTTCTTGAATGCTCTCACAGGTCAGCATGAACATTGTTTAGCTTTTGAGATCTGATGAGTTGTGTCATGAGCACGTATGTTGTCAAAACTGCAGGACCCAGGACCACAGACATGATGCATGTGTGTTTCAGACTAAATTTTAGTGATAGTGGCTGAGAGATACTCTGTTACAATCACAGACTCAAAGTCTTTGGTGTACCGAATGAAAAAGTGTCTTACATATTTTTTTTATCAGGTGCTTTGTGCACTAGATGAAGTTTCACACGACAAAGACTGGCAAAAGCCAGATACTACTGTTGGATGCAAGTACAACAGGAAGGGAGAGTGAATATTAAAGTTGAGTATTTAACTTTCAGTTTCTGACTTCAGGATGTGTAAATTTAAACCTTAATTCTATCATCTTACGTAGTCTATAAGTAGCATTATAAGATATATTATAGATGTGAGGCTGATTTTTATCAAAGGGAATTCTTATTTGACAAATCTG